AAAGGGAATATGGGGTGTCTGGGATGATAGCTATTCTTACAGGCATAGTTTTGGGGGATTATCTTTGAAAACTTCTTTGCTGCTGTGTAATTTACACTGCTACTGCTGGTAATGACTGTAAGAAATATGAGAAGCACTAATGAGTATGGATCACTGTTCTCCTAGAATGTAAAAAAAAAGGAGCACGGGGAGTGATGACCCTGTATGACAGATCAATCAGGCTGCAGATTGGTTCTTAGGCTATCCAGGTTATTTTCCTTAGAAGGCGTCATGTCTCACACATTCTGCTGAAGGCTATCCTTATCCATTCAAGTTCATGACAGCTATTCTTAGACATTAGTTCATTTTTAACACCATTGCCAAGACTGGAACTGTAATTTTTAATGACAATGAAGAGACGATGTCTCTTTTATCAGGTTCAGATCTATTTAGCTTAAATTAAAATTCTTTGCTATATTTTTCCTATAGTTATTCAAAGGATTAGTGAAAAAATGTCATTGAACAGCTACTTGTCTCCTCATTAACATTCATGACAAAAGCTTCCGGCCGGAGCTGGTTTCGGCTGCTGATGGAGCAATACCTAAAAGAAATTGGCTTGTATGTGAAACAGCTGCTCAGCAATGTCAGTATGCAGGGGAATTGGTGATAATAAGATGATACTATTACAGCTACACTGGGAGCATAGTATATTTTAAGCTGCTTTGAGGTATACAGTTGAGGTCCAAGAATTGGAGCATGACTATTTGTCTAGTGCTAGGAACAGGAAACAGCTGATTGTTACATGTCTGCTTATACAGGTTAGTGCTACAGAAAGCCTTGAGGTTAAAGAAAAATCTCTATCTGCTGGAATTCTTAATTTCCTGTGTGTTTTCTGTCTGCTGGAAAAGTTTTTTGTTTCTTTTCCTAGTGTTTGGAAAGGTTTGTGTGTCCTTTGCTGAAACAGGTGTTGGCCTCTTTGCTAGGAACATTGAGCACCTGCTATTTCAAAGGAACTTTTCTCAGCTTGGTGATTTATTTATTTGGCAAGATTCTTAAGAGAAGATTCTCTGGATCCTCATGCACCCATTAGTGAAATTCCAGATACTGATTTTGTTTGAAAAGACCATCCAGTATGTCAATGGAATGACAAATATGTAGATGTGGGCAATACAGTTGTAAACATCTGCACATAAGGCTCAGCCAAGAAACAACTGGCAGCTAGCATTATGTTGTATGCTAATCCACTCTTGTCTAGAACATGGAAATTGAATGAAAAATAACATTGTCAGACCTTTGGCTCTGAGATATCTTTGAACCTCACATACTATGAGAAATAAAACAGGAAAAAATGAACGTAGAAGAATGGAGTAGTTAAAAGTCCCAACATACTGACCGCCCCTTAGAAATGTGAAGGACAAATGAATAAGAAGTGAAAGCTTATAAAGGGCTTTAAAATGCAAGAATTGATTGCCAGTTAAAAGAAAGATTTAACAAGTTCTGATCATAGTTAGTTCCAAAAAGCCTAGTAATTTTTAAAGTTCTCTGTTACAAATTTCATATTTAGCTTCTATTGCTTTTAGTTATTACAGAAATTTAGTTCTTGTAAAGACTTGGAAGTACTGTACTTGAGGTAAAATGAAATACAAAACTGACATAGAAATTATGTAAGACCATTGACAGCAGACTGAGGGAGGTGAATCTTTCTCTCAGCTCAGCATGATAAGGCTACACATGGAGAGATGGGTCCAGGTCTGCACTCCCCAGTACAAGAGAGATATGGGCACACTGGCACAAGCTCAGCAAAGGGCAGTAAGGTGATGAGAGGACTGGATCACCTCTCATAGGAGCAGAGAGAGCTGGGACTGTTGACTAGAATACCTCCATCACATCTCAGCCATGTTCTATGATTCTGTATAAGAATGTTTGTCTTACCAGAGGGCTAAAGAGACAATATTCAAGTTAAAGCAGATTGAATTTCCTTTAAGATTAGATCAAGAATCTGGGACAAAATTCTGAAAAGGAAAACAGATCTCAAATTGTCTCTCAAAATGAAAATCATAACATCATTCCATCTATGCCTAAGTGTACGGCTGTGGGGAAGAAAGCAAATAAAACTGTTGGCAGAGGGGCTCGACACAAACTGCGATGACCAATGTGATCAGCAAAATGTCCGTCTTTATTTACAAAGATGCCCCTTAAATACCATTACTACACCCCGGCGTGCGATTTCTTCTTCTACAGTATTGGTTACACGAAAGTATTCACAATGTAAACATGCCCTGTTGACCGCTTCTAATTGGTTTATAGCAGGTGTCCATATGAAATGAGGACACAAGTTTACCTCTTGGGACTCCACCTTAATCTTGGCATAGATCCTTCTTTGTCTCAGCTTTAGAGCCTGAAGCCATGTTAACTACGCAGCATTTTTTACTGTTTGTACCCAGCTATGCCAAAGCAAGACTCTCAAAAATGCAAGAGAAATTGCTCACTCAATCTTTGCTCTCCCAACATAAAATAAGAAAGGCAAAGCTTATGAAGGTCAGATCAAAATTCAACAAAGAGTTCACATACTCCCAAGAATACTTATGTTCCAAAACTTAACATTACCCTAAGACAAGTCCAGTACAGAAAAAAAAAAAAAGTGAAGGTCTACAAGATATCCCTTCGATGTCCCTTTCAAGAGTTTTCAAAACTATATAAATGTCTGAATGAACAAAGAGCTTGGCAGCAACTCTAGTTTAAATTAACTCCTTACAGGAGCAAAGCTAGTATCTATCGCAACATTCCTTAGATGTTCATATATTCATTTATTGCTTACATGCGCTGCTCTTGATAAACACCGGTACTTTACAAAACTTCCATAAAATCATCGCAATTGGCTGTATCTGTTTTGTTATTTGTGGTATACTAGCATTAAATGGCAGAATCATGTATCAGAATTCCCTTGTGCAATCAAAGTACCAAATTAAAAAACAACAACAAAAAAGGATGATTCTTGAACAGTTAAAACACTGACCTTATCTAACAATCTTAATATTGCTTCATACTGAAAAGCAGCATCCTATTTTAAACTGCAACATATTTAGCTGGTTTTACACTGAAAGACAGCCTATTAGGTGAATACATTTTTACATTAATGTATTTGCCTCTCTAGAAAGACTAAGCAATTTTTCCATATAAGTGATCAAATTTTGAATAGCTTTAGAATAGCATTAAAATACTGAAAGCATACACTAAGTTCAAATGCTCTCTGATAAGATGTCACATTGCAAATTCCCTTTAAAACATCAACCATAAGACAGAAGAAAACACTCAGTCTTTTATTCCATTTATTTATCTGTGGAGCAGATCCATAAGAATCCCAGAGCGGAGTACTTAAAAGCAATCAGTAAGTGTCAGCTATGCCTTACCAACAGTATTAAGATACCGAATTTCAGTTACTGAAAGTGCCATAATACCCTTAAGTTCATTGCAACATAAAAAGGTCTGAAGTTGTCAAAGAATTAGTAAGGTGACAACTGAGCTCTGTGGTCAATGAGCCCAAAATTTTGAGTATACTGCATGGCTCACTGAACACCAGCAATCATCCTGGTTTCCTTCTATAAAAAAAAAAGAGCCTTGTACATGCCCTAGATGGTTTGAGATATCTGTTCTGCTTTCACACTCATCTTGTAAGACCGCACATGACTTCTGGATTTATTTTGTTTATAGATCCTTTGAAGATAAGTAAAATTTTGAAAATCCACTGCACAAAAAGTTCCAAATTCACATTTAAAAGGAAAGTCATCATAATGCAGAACAGTGCACAGTCATTCACACCTTCCAAGGACACTCACTAAATTATATTAGCATCTGATCTGCTGCTGTGGATTTTTCTCCAACTCATCCCCATATTACACATTTTCCATTCCCTTCTTTTTTAATTCATTTTCCCTTCTGTGTCATATTGAGAGAATCAATATTAGAAAAAAAAAATCTTTAATTGGATATGATACAGAATTACCCCAAGGAGTTAGAGACATCTTCACTTTTTTCCTAATGGAACCATAGAGTTCCGAAGTAAGCTTATATTTTTAGAGATAACCTTTCCACCATTCTCCTACATGTGTGTATATGACCAATTACCTGGGGTTAGCCAGCTTTACTCCACCTATTTTCAGGCTTTCAACCTACACAAAGCTCAGCAATCCTCTTTGTAATGCTGATTTATGTCTCTTAATGCCATACCCTTTTCAACTTACACATATGCAGAAGTGCTTAGGGTGACACTTCTAACACAAATGCAGATTTCATATTTAGATAAAACCATGACTTAAAAATATGGACACAACCACGAAAACTGATTAATCTTCATTGTTAAAGACAAGTACTTAGAAAATTGTGACCCCATAACCCTGATCTTACAAAGGTCTTATAAAGGCTGATTGCAAGCAAATAAAACCCCCAAACTGTTCTTGTCAGTTCTTTCTAGGTAGAAAAGATGTGTTTGATACTGCTTAAGTACTTTGTATGATAATCCCTCTCAAACGCAACTGAGGCCTTTGTGTTTGGAAGCCAGAAGCCCTTTTAGAGACTCTGTACTTCACAAGAAAATCATGCAGGAAAAAACCACAGCCTTAAGGCTATAAAAAGGCAAACTACACAAATAGTTCTCTGCAATAACAAAAATCATGGGAGATCCACAGTTCATCTTGCAACAGTGAACATGATTACAAACCTAAATTTTGCATTTGAAACTAGGAGACAAAAATTATAAACGTCTCTATGCATATCTAATCTCTTTTTTCAACATTAGCCAAGCCTGCAGGCGCTTAATAGTCTTATTCTTGATGTCATTGTAATTAAAGGCAATACTCACAAGGCTGATAAGCACACCAGCTGTACATTAACCCTTATCTTAGCCAAACTGACAACTGCAAATGTGATATCTAATGGTAAAGAAAAGAACACTGGAATCTATTATGGATACCTGACTCTTAAATCCCATAACCATGAAAATAAGTAAATTATATCCAGCCTACCGTCAAACTTCTTGTGCCGGGATACAAAAGTGGTGCGTACGAAGTGACTTGTTTCCTCCACTAAGTTTTCAAACTCCAGTTTGCTCTGTTGGCTTAACTTGTCCTCCATTTCTGAGGTGCAGCATGTATATTCCTGAGGGCAGATTCTCAAATGTTCCCCTGGAATCACAAGAAAAAAGGAATTGGAAATATTTGAATACAGACAGAAAGGCGCCAGAACCAAATACAAATGATGGCTCTCCAGTTTGGGTGGATTACTTAAAGAGCTCTTTAAGGCTTGACTTCTTGACAGAGAACACTTTGAATCTGTATCAACAACTTTTCTATAGTTGGGTATTCCTCACATGGGAGGGGAGACACACTTTGCAGAATTGTTTTGATACTTCAAGAGGCAGAACTATCTCACATCAAAGTGTTTTCTCACTCTGAAGAAGCCTTCCTCATTTACAGAAATACACTTAAGATTTGAAAAACAGTTGCTTGCTGTCTGTCTGTATTCAAAATGCCTGGAGAAATACCTAGTGAGATGACCTGTTACAAGTCATTGGAACTGTCAAAACTTGAAAAACAGAAATGCATTTGCTGTCAAAACCTGAAAAACAGAAATTATGCATTTCTGTAGACAGGTCCCACTCGCCCAAGTGCACCAAAACATTCTCCCCTTCTCACCTTCCTTCCCTTCTGCTTAAATGTATTTTAAAGACTGTTTTTGGATGCCACATGTTTTCTTGGGCAGTATTTCTTGTCAGACTGAGCAAGTGCTCTGCTGAATAAGAGAAAGCAATGAAGAGTTTAATTAATGCTTATGTTATACAGAAATGTAATGTAAAAGGTAATGAAAGCCTCTTATTTAATTCAATAGATTTATCTCTTGAAGCACTGTGCCAGTTCTTCTGACAATATTGCTTTCTTCAGTTCAATTTGCAAGTGGAAACCAATTCTTTAGCTCATGAAATTAAAATGGTCTATTATTACATGAAATGTGAATTTCCAATTGACACTGTACTAAGGGTGTCAGAAACATTTAGCTCAGTTTGTACAAAGGCAGGAATTTCTACCATTCCCTCTTGAGAAATAAAAAGAATGATCTACCTCTATGATTAAAGTAACTTGTAAGGCAATGAAAACATTTAGCTTTCTGTACACTGAATCCTGATTAAAAATCCCTCTGCAAATCTCTTAAAGGTGCAAATAAAATGATATACAAAGCCCGAGGGTTAAATAAATACTGGGGACCTGATTCTCATTTATATGAAGACTCCTTTCTACCACTGCTGAGCCATAAAGAAGACTTAAATGCAATTTATACCTACTTTAAGGCTGCTTTTCACCATTCTTATTATGTAGTGAGGAGAATCAGGCTCTAAGTTTAATGCTTCCCAGGGGTATAATACATTTAGCTGCCGCATCATTTTGAAGGCAGCATCACAAAGAGGTTTGCACATGCTTAGAATAAACATTGTCTTGAGTTTGCCCTCACCTTATTCCACTTTATGTTTCAGTTCTTGAATGAAGATTTTTAATTTGAAATTCAGTCATTCCTCACCCCTGATGCATCCCCATTTTGTTTTTTTTTTTTTCTGCAAGAGTTCATCATAATATATGAACTATAATGCCATGAGATTTCTTTTAGCAATCTCAAGATTTTTTAAAAGCTCAGTTATACATCTTCAGGAAGGATCATTAATTATTATCAGTTACTGTTCAGCAGTACTAGCTACAAGTCTCAGTTATGTCCAAAAGCATCATGATAAAAATCACTGTATAAACCTGGGAAAAAAAGATACCCCATGACCATCAAAATATTGTAAAGATTGTTTCCCATGTCTACTACACCTTCCCAACACAATCAAATAATTCTTTTCCATCCTCAAAATCACACATCTAAGCAAAAAACAAGACACACGGGGCCTGGTGAGCCAGCTGCTGTCAAACATAAAAGATAGTGGCAAACTAACGTTTGCCTTACCCTCTACATCTCTGTCACATTAAACTGAAACTATTCAACAGGTAAAGGAGGTACCATAATAAGAAACAATAAAGGTTATTTTAGTAACAGTAATGTTGTGAGGTTTTTATTAGATGTCAGAAAGACAAGTAAAGCTGAAATACTGTGTCATTAGAAGCAATACTGCATGCTTGATTAAATTAAAAAAAAAAACCAAACCAAAAACCCATCCATAATGTGTGCAACCCCCTTCCTTGATAAATTCAGGGGGTTTTGTTTATTTTAAACACCTACTATCCCAGTTCCAGCCAGAGTCGTAGTTTATGCTTTCATTATGGTTATTATGATTATGTCCTCTAGTGCCATTGCAACCAAGGAATTTTATAAAGCTCAGTTTTCTTTCCTCTGCTCATGTCAAGTTCTTATTCTTTTCTCTCTGGCTCTGTTTTTCATGACTGCCAGACTATAAACTGAACTAATGGTAATCATGAAGGCACCGTGCTTAGTAAGTAACAGTTATGAGTCTAAATTTTTTAACACACTGTGTTGTGCTGAATGCTATGACAAATTAAAGCCTATTGAACAGTTATTTTTGCAGCAATATTAATTTTTCTTTCATTTATTTATTTGCAGTCTTACTTTTGCATTGCTACAAAAATTACTTCTCACTTTGGCTGCTACAGACTCATTCAGATTCCTACTGCACTTCTTTTTTATATGTGTATTTTCATTAAGTTTCTTCTTTTTAATTTACTGGTTATTCATTCATTCATGAGGTTCTTGAATGCTTAAATCTGAAACTCACATTTATCAGAAATGCTCGCAAATTCTATATTACCTCATTGCCTTTTTCTCCCAACAATGTGTCTTCCTAAATCATCTAAACTAGCCACCCACCATCATCACAAAAACTTTGCTGAACTTTAATGAACTTTTTTTTAAACCACATTTCTAGTTCTTCTCTTCTCCCCAACCATATACTCACTCCCTGCATTTTTGTAGAATGAAATAATAAGGGAAATATTTTGCTACTCTTCATATTCTGCTTCAATATTTTTGCCTTCTTCTCTTTCCTGAACTAGAGGTTCAGGTCAGATTACAGATAAAGCAAAAGAAAAAGCAAAAGTATCTTCCATTGCTTCATGCCAAGAAGCATGCAAAGATGAAGATTTTAGAAATTTTGTCTCATAAGCCCTGGCATGTTTATACCAAGTATGACTGGCTGCAGTCTCCATAGGTTCACAACTTAGAAAAAACTCATGTGCTTTCCAAGGAATGGCAAATGGAAACTCTCTGACAAAGTCATTTCTGTATGCCTAATCTTATTTGTTTTTTAAAAGCATGATTTCCATTTTTTACTCATTCTTACCAAACCTCCAACTCATGTTAGAATCACCAGGTCAATAGTTCACTCCTTGTAGGAAAAAAAAAAAAATGGACACAATTTTCTCAAAACAGAAGTAGGGAGTTTAGGGAGGGGAGTTTGTTGGTTTCTTTGTTAGTTTGTTTTTTTTAATTAAGGGGTGAGTGCTTTATTTTGGATTTTTTTTTCTTCTTTTATGCAAATCTGTGTCCTAACAGACTGTTTGGATTGGAAATAGCTCTGCAGGCTATACTTGATTGTGCTTCCTCTGATTTCTTGAATTGGATCATTTACTGTTTGCATTTTATAATACATTGTTCTATTACCATAGAAAGAGTTTAATCACTAATTTGTGTATTTACACACCTCAAGTATTTTGCAGGCTGAAAATGTGCTCATAACTAATGTACCAATTCTTGCCCTGGGAAACTCCATATGGTCTAGGTTCTTATGCTAATTTTAGCAACACTTTTTATGGGACAAGTGGCATTGGACATAACTGACTAGTTTTTCCTTGTTGCAAATGGTGTGTCCCCAAAGATGTTTGACAGAATGTAGTTTCACTGCACTAGCATTTTGCCAGACTGAACAAGTATGAACTCAATATTCCTAGCGACCTACCACAACTCTTCTAACTACTGTTTCCAGCTGAAGATGCTGACCTACAAATATCTCCTCCTGTGGTTTAGGTTATATAAATCAAATGAATTGTCTACTACAAATACAGCTACCAGTATTCAATTTCAGTTTTATTACAGCTGGAATCTCACACCTGCCTTCACATGATCCAAATTGGCAAGTTTTGCAGTTGAATTTGGCAATCCTTCTAGCATGCAGCTTTGAAGTGTGATAAAGCAATTTATAAAGCACTTCTTTTATATTCAGATGTATTGCAGTTTGGTGTCCTTAAAACATGCTACAAACCTCACAAGTCTTTAAAAAATTACAATTTACAGCTCTCAACCGGAATAAATGCTTTTACTGTGTATCAAAATGCTGAAACTGATTTGACCATTGTATCTACTTGCACTGGATACAATCTGAAGGATCAATAAACCCTAAGGAATATAACATTACCCTTAACAATTTCACCAACAGATTTTCTGAACATCTGATGCAAACATTGTTTACACTATTAGAACTGGAAATATGATCCATAAAACATTTAACATCAGGTAGAGTTTTTTATGGGTCATGTTGCAAGTTTAACAGTATTGGAAACAACTCTTTCTCAGGCAGTCAATATTTTATAGTTTCTATCCTAATCATAAATTTAAAAACCTGATACTGGTCTCTTCACAGAGTGGTAGGACTAACTGTATGGCTGGAGGGAAGAGAAACATACAGTCACCACACTGCTTCATAAATACAGGAGTGAATAAATGTTGATAAAACAAAGGGGTAAATTCAAGGTGTGTTTTCAAAATTCATCACCTTGTATGCATCAACAGAGTCTAAAGGAAGAAAAGATATCTCTGCATTCTACATCATGCAGATTAGATTAATGTGATTTGGCTTTGTCATTAGCTGTGTTGTTTGAAATTAGAAGTATCTGTTTCAGTCCTGCCCATATTCAGTCAGCTGCGGAGAAAGCAGTGCAATTTACTACAGTATGAAATTTAACAAAGGTAAGTTCCAAGTCCTGCACCTGGGATGGAGTAGCCAAAGTGCCAGTACAGGCTACAATCTGTAGCAAGGGGAGATACCTTGATGAAAAGAATGTGGTCTCCTGGTGGACAACAAGCCAACATGAGTCAGCAGTGCACTGCAGCAGCATTAAAGGCAAATCCCATACCGGGTTGCATCCCCAGCGGCATTACTGGCAGAGACAGAGACATGATCATCCCACTATACTCAGTTCTTGTCAGGCTGCACCTGAAGCACTGTCCTGGTCCCCACAATTCAAGGAAGATGCAGACGGACTGGAAAGGGCCCAAAGGAGGGTCATGAAGATGATCAAAGAACTGGAGAACCTGCTGTGTGAGGAAAGACTGAAAGAGTTAGGTATTTCTTCCTAGAGAAGGAGAAGGCTCAGGAGGTACCTACTCACAGTATTCCAGTACTTAAAGAGCAGGTACAAAGAGGATAGAGGATCTCTCTTCACAAGGAGCCACACGGAGAAGAAAAGGGGTAAAAGGTACAAGTTGTACCAAGAGAAGTTTCATCTTGGCATAAGAAAGAAATTTTTTAAACTGAGAACAATCAGCTACTGGAACAACCTCCCCAGGGACATGGTGGAGACCCCATTGCTGGAGGTTTTCAAGATGCAATTGGACAGTGTTAGTTAATCCCATCAAGGCTCCCTTTCCCACAGGGACTGAGACCAGATAATCTGTCAGGGTTCCTTCCAACGTGGGCTATTCTATGGTTCTGTGATTAGGTACTTCAGAGCTTCCTACCTCTGAATTATAAAGGACTGGAACCACTGGAGTTCTGTTCCTGAATTAGCATTTTCCGCCTAATTTTCTGTATTTTTAAAAATTATTAATTTAAATTATTTTAAAAACATGATGAATAGCATTAAAAGAAAAACATCATTCCACTTGAACCCTTGCCCACAGTTTTGGGATTTGGATCTTTTTCAGTATTGGTGATAAATGCCTGCTTTTTCAAGTTTTCAATTTAAGTTCTCTACTGGTGAAATTAAGAGCACTGGAGAACTCTTAATGATCACACTATTAATTTTCTATGATAGAAAGCCATTCTTTTCCAATACCTTTCTGTCCTGTCACTCATGTGCAAAGAGAAAACAGTTCTGTAGAAGATTCTGACTAACAATCATCTTTAACTTGAAAAAAAACCAAACACAAGAAGCACTATCATGTTGTCTGCATTAGCTTATTTAGCAGTTTAAAATAAACTAGACACATGAGTTATAGCATTTCAGCCAACATTCAAATAGTGAAAATTAAAATATCATCTGTTCCCTAACCAAAAAGTCCTAAGGCTCCTTCTGACTTTGTAATTATCTTCTCTGTGGGGTACAACAGCCCTGCAAGCAGCATCTGTAAAATTGCACCTGGCATTCGAGTCACAGATTGAACTTTCCTACTCAAACTAAAAGGAAACAGATTACATTTTAAATTAATTCCATTGTAATATTGGCCTTACAAGTGATGACAAGAGCAACATTTGCACAGAAAATGACAGCTGAAGGAAGGGAGGGAAAGCTGTCTGTAACATACTGATTGTGCCACTGGACACAACTCTTCTAATTTTAATCAAAAGAGATGATTTTTGAGTGGTCTTGGGAATCAAGAGAGGTCCCAGCTGACTGGAAGCTGGTGAACATTGTTCCGATTTTGAAGAAGGGCAAGAAGGAGGACCTCAGAAACTACAGGCCTGTCAGTCTCACTTCAGTGCCTAGTGATGTTATAGAGAAGATTATTCTGGAAAGTATTGAAAAACACCTGCAAGACAACATAGTCATTGGGCACAGCCAGCACAGCTTCAAAGTCCTGCTTATCCAACCTGATTTCCTTTTATGACAAGATAACGCACCTAGCTGATCAAAGGAAGCCACTTGAGGTAATTGTTTTGGATTTCAGTAAAGCTTTTGTTACTGTCTCTCACATCATCCTTCTGGACAAAATATCCAGCCCACAGCTGGATAAACACGTCATAGGGTGGATGAGCAATTGGCTCACGGGTCGAGCACAGAGGGTAATAGTGAATGAGGGAACATCAGACTGGGGACCTGTCACTAGTGGAGTTCCACAGGGCTCCATCTTCCGCCCTGTGCTCTTCAATATCTTCATAAATGACTTGGATGCAGGACTGGAAGGGATACTAAGCAAGTTTGCAGATGATACAAAACTGGGAGGAGCTCTTGACTCCCTTGAAGGCAGCGAAGCCCTCCAGAGAGATCTTGACAAATTAGAGGACTGGTCAATCACCAACCATATGAAGTTCAACAAGGGGAAGTGCAGGATTCTGCATCTGGGATGGGGTAACCCTGGATGTTCATACAGACTGGGGAATGAGATGCTGGAAAGCAGTGCCATGGAAAGGGACCTGGGGATCCTGGTCAATGGCAAGTTGAATATGAGTCAGCAGTGCCCTGGCAGCCAGGAGGGCCAACCATGTCCTGGGGGGCATCAGGCAAAGCATTGGTGGCCGGTTGAGGGAGCGGATTGTCCCGCTCAGCTCTGCAGTGATGGGGCCTCACCTTGAGTATTGTGTGGAGTTTTGGGCACTGCAATATAAGAAAGACATTAAGACAATGTCCAAAGAAGGGCAACGAAGATGGTGAAGGGCATTGAGAGGAAGCCATATGAGGAGCGGCTGACGTCACTTGGTCTGTTCAGCCTGGAGAAGAGGAGACTGAGGGGAGACCTCATTGCAGTCTACAACTTCCTCGTGAGGGGAAGAGGAGGAGCAGTCACTGATCTCTTCTCTTTGGTGACCAGTGACAGAACCTGAGAGAATGACCTGAAGTCACGTCAGGGGAGGTTTAGGTTGGATATTAGAAAAAGGTTCTTCACCTAGAGGGTGGTTGGGCACTGGAACAGGCTCCCCAAGGAAGTGGTCAGAGCACCAAACCTGACAGATTTCAAGAAGTGTTTGGATGATACTCTCAGGCACATGGCGTGACTCTTGGGGGTGGTCCTGTGCAGGGCTAAGAGTTGGACTCGATGATTCTTGTGGGTCCCTTCCAACTCAGCATATTCTTTGATTCTGTGAATATTGAACGTGAAAAATTTTTATGTCCAGTGTACTCCAATGAACATGTGCAACTACCCCATGAAGTAGACTCATTTGTTTGCCTCAGACCCAAATCACCTTTGCTCAGATTCCTTTTGTTGCTTGAATTCTTTGAGGTTAATTAAAAAATTAATGTCTTCCAAACAGACTGATAATTAGTTAACAGTCTCTTCATTACAGGTCCCACAGGGAACATTTATTTGCAAGAAGCCGTGACCCTCTTGTCCTTGGGAAGATCTCAGCAATAAGTTACCAAAGCTGAAGCCAAGGCAAACCTGTTCAGGCTAAGAATATATAGATGCTAAAGAAAGAACTGAAGTCCCTAGAGTATTCCTAACTAAACTACTAGAAGCACTACCACTACTTGAACACTCAGGATCATTTTATTTTCCGAGCATACACAGTCAGACAAATTGTTTTTTGATAGCACAGTTTGTGAGAAGAATCTTTAGTTACCTCTTGGGGAGTGTATTACTGGCTTTGTGCTCAGTGCCTTGTGGAAAGCAAATGGTAAGGCTATGATTCAGCACTGTACAGTTTCATCATCTCACCGACTACACAGCTGCAATTTTCTGATTTCAAGGCATGTTTCCACCTGGGAATGGCAGCCAACTTCCCCTCCCCCTCAACTGAGTTTTGCTGTTTATTACATCCTCTACTGTAATAGCAGAAATATCTTACATAACATTATAGCGAGAAGTAGAATACAAGCAGCACATCGCTTTACCATGACTGTAAAACACAATGCAAGGTAGGTTTTGTATTTCATCCACTCTCAGAATAATTTTATTATTGCGATAACAAGATGAGATGGTACACATTCATGCATTTATAAAGATTTTAATCAACATTCCTCACATGAAACTGAAATCCAAATGTGACTGTAGTACATGACACAGAGACAGATTTACACCACTTAGTTCAGACACCCACAAAAATACTGCTGCGGTAGGAAAGAGTGCTGGACTTAGTTGCCCTGGACCAACTGGGTGTGCTGTTCTGCCGAAACAAGTCCTTAAGATAGCTACACCATTACTAATTTGCATACAACAAAAGTTAAAGCAGCATGAGCTACAGTCTTGCCATTTGATTGCACTTTCAAGTGTATTTTAAAGCTGTGCAGATCCCTTGCTAATCACTGTATTATCATGCATAAAATCCATGTTTCTAACAACAACTGTTTAAGAGTCATTAATCACAATGCTCTTCTCTTATTCATACAGCTTCACTTAGCCCAAAGAGACCTTTTCATTCTACCAGATTAATCTACCTTCCTGTCTTCTGATTGATAATGACATGGTTTCCTGCAATGCCAGTCATAGAAACAGTTCACAAAGATAAATGATAAATGTCAAGTTGGTCTTAAGTCCTAGGTTGTAGTACGTATGTCAGTGGTAAGATTTTGGTGCTTCTGCCATAAAGTCTTTATTGAGATATTTTTCAGCCTAATCTCTTTCTTAGTTGCTTAAGGAAAAAGAGAGTACAAAAAGAGAGGCTACAATTTATAAAGATCTGAGAGTCCTGTTACTGTACTGACTCAAGGTCTATCCGTTAAATTTCAGGGCCAGAAATGCTGGCATTTATCCTTTCATTTCTATTTGGAACAACTACTGTGAAAAGCAAAATGCCTCTACCAGCTCCTAAGTATTAACCTTACTGTGACTCAAGTCACAAGGCAAAGCAGTTTCTCCAAGTTTATGTACCTTTGACTTTATAGGAGGGGGGAAAAAACTTATTTTTTTTCTCCCACAGAGGCATGCTAAAAATATGTCAACAAGTGTAATGCACAGAGAAGTCACTTAATACGAGAGGCCAAAATATGCAAAAAAAAAAAATCCTCTTACCACCACACAGGAGTTCTGTGGTCTGTGAGCCAAATTTGGTGCAAGTTTATGTGTCCTTGGCTTGGTTCTACAGATCTAATCACTGTTACAGTGTGAGAAAGTCGATGCTAAAGCCAAATAAAGTAGTGGAACCAAAGCACAGACAGAATTGTGGGAGTTAAAGGATTCAAGAGGAAAACTACTGACATGGGAAAGTGTGAAACCCCACGGGGAAAAAAAAATTGACAAACTGGAGAGTGGCAATGAAGCAACAAGGACAATCAGCTCAT